ATCTGTGCCTCTTCACCTTGTAAGGCATTTTGACAAAAAGACTTTGACAGCGCTGGCAATGCTGGGTGTATTCCAGGCTGCAGGAATGTAGGGTGGGTACTAGGAATGTTGAGTGTATCCCCAGTGGAGGAATGGGGGTGGGTACTAGGAATGTTTAGTTTAAGTGTATCCCCAGTGGAGGAATGGGAGGTAGGTACTAGGAATGTTGAGTGTATCCCCAGTGGAGAAATGGGGGGTGGGTACTAGGAATGTGGAATGTATCCCCAGTGGAGGAATGGGGGGGTGGGTACTAGGAATGTGGAATGTATCCCCAGTGGAGGAATGGGGGGTGGGTACTAGGAATGTTGAGTGTATCCCCAGTGGAGGAATGGGGGGTGGGTACTAGGAATGTGGAATGTATCCCCAGTGGAGGAATGTGGGGTGGGTAGGAATGTGGAGTGTATCCCCAGTGGAGGAATGGGGGGTGGGGGGGTGGGTACTAGAATGTTGAGTGTATGGCTGTATTCCCCCAGTGGAGGAATGTGGGGTGTAATTCTGGTCAGAGGGGTGGGTACTGTGGGGAATGTTGGTGAGTGTATCACCAGTTGGGAGGAATGGGAATGGGGGTGGGTACTAGGAATGTTGAGTGTACCCCCAGTGGAGGAATGTATTCCGGGGGGTAGGGGTACTAGGAATGTGGATGTGTGTACCCCCAGTGGAAGAATGTCAGAGGGGGGGTGTATTCTGGTTAATGGAAATGTAGGCTGTATTCCAGGCAGCGGGAAAATTAGGTGTATTCCGGTTGGTGGGAATGTGGGGTGTATTCTGGTCAGAGGGAATGTAGGGTGTATTGTGGGGGTTGGGAATGTGGGGTGTATTCCGGTTGGTGGGAATGTGGTGTTTATTCTGATCAGTAGGAATGTTGGGTGTATTCCAGTCAGTGGGAATGTGGGGTGTATTGTGGGGGTTGTGAATGTGGGTGTGTACTCCGGTCAGAGGGAATGTGGGGTGTGTTGTGTGCGGAAATTGGGAATGTGGGGTGTATTCTGGGGTCAGTGGGAATGTAGGGTGTATTCCGGTCAGAGGGAATGTAGGGTGTATTGTGGGGGTTGGGAATGTGGGGGGGTGTAGGGTGTATTCCAGTTGTTCAGAGGGAATGTTGTTGGTGTATTCCGGTCAGTGGGATTGTTTTATGGTATATTGTGTTGGGGGGTTGGGTGTGGGGTGTATTCCGATCAGAGGGAATGGGGGTGGGGTGTATATTGTGGGGGTTGGGACTGCGGGGGTTGTATTGTGGGGGTTGGGAATGCGGGGTGTATTGTGGGGGTTGGGAATGTGGGGGGTGTGGGGTGTATTGGGGGTTCAGAGGGAATGTGTGGGGGTGTATGTTGTGGTGGGGGTTGGGTTGTTGGGGAATGTGGGGTGTATTCCGGTCAGAGGGAATGTGGGGTGTATTGTGGGGGTTGGGAATGCGGGGTGTATTGTGGGGGTTGGGAATGCGGGGTGTATTGTGGGGGTTGGGAATGTGGGGTGTATTGTGGGGGTTGGGAATGTGGGTGTGGCAGCGATTCGTGGCCCACACAAGGTGGAGGAGTGGCGGGTGGAATCCAATGGCGGAAGGTAATGTTATGTTCCAGTTCAGTGAGAAATGTCTCTCCTCTGTAATATCTCTGACACACATCACCCCCCCCCCCCCTCTAATCCCAGCCACCCCCCCCCCCCCCCACCATGAGAAAACCGCCAACCTTCACAGCTCAGCGCCTCTCCACAACAACACGGCTACCGCACTGCATGACCACACACTGACCCCGGGGACACAGCACTGCCCACCCACAGCATAATGTATCCTGACCCACAGAGCTAGCAATCCAAGGGCCTGCGGGGCCGGAATATATATCCCACTGCAAGGAGCCGCTCTCACCTCTTTATTGCACGGCTCAGAGCAATGTCTTGGCTTCTTCTATCACATTCTGTCCGCTCTAAATTGTTTTGTCAGACAGAAAGTGATGAGAAATCCCCAATTTTCAGTTATCACCAAAGCAGGAACAGGGGAGGAAATGCTGCACCGGGGACACTTGTTCCAGGAACAACAAAGAGTTCTCCTATTTCCTGTTGTGTCTCTGGGACAGGAAGTGAAGGAAAATCTCACCAATGGGACACAGATGGCAAAAAAGAAAGCATGACAGGTGTAACTATTTCCTTTTTTCCATCCAAGCGTAATGACAGATCTACAGCTGGAACGTAGCGAGTAAAGTTTCCTCCCATCATTGGCGTGGCGGTGGATGATAACAATGTAACAAATCACGGGGACGGTATCATGGGATGAATATGATTGTATCTCTGACATGATTCCTGTTTACTATACGGAGGGAAATGGATCGCCCTGTTCTGTTATCTTTATCCACCATGAGAACTACGCGTCCCGCCAGCTCAACCGCCAACGCTGGGAGCGCCACCCTGGTACCTTTCAAAATAGGCTTTTTTGGGTGTGGTTTGATGCGTGCGTTGTGGGCAAGGACACATGGGCCCTACCCCAGACGATCCCCTATGCCCGGGGGCCCCATGATTGCAACGTGGCGCTTTTTGGTCAGTCCGCCCCTCGAGGTACTTCCATTAGGTACCGCCGAACGCCGCTTCCCCATCTGTGTAACGGAAACACCGACAACTTTCCCAGACACCGGGCACAGCCTTTTATTGAGGGCCCGGGGTCAGTAGGGGGACCCACGAGAACCATACAAGACTAGAGGACCCCAGTCCCCTTGAAGTAAACCAGAGGAGGTAGACTAGTTTATCTGAACACAGATACAAGATATATACACTCAGGGGACAATCCCCCCTCCCTGCATAATGACACAGGGTGGGGGACAGTAACACTCAGGGGACCCCCCCTCCCTACATAATGACACAGGGCGGGGGACAGTCCCCCCCTCCCTACATAATGACACAGGGCGGGGCAATCTACATTTAGCAACAAGAGACACACAGGTATTCAAACTTCACACCAGCAGACAGTCCAATCAAGAGGAGGGCTGCTGGAGACACCCCCCCCCCCCCCACCAAGCCAATACAGATAAACACATACATCCCATAATAGTTTGCTCACAAGCCAAATAAACAATAGAACAATGGGATGCAGCCACATGACATTGAACAATCAACACCCCCCCCCCCCCCCCACTTATCTCCTACACAGTCTGAGACAAAGCCCACCCAATATTAGGACAGATCACCCTGTACCCCTAACAGGCACAGGATGACTTACACATAATAGGGATATGGGGAGCTGAGACAGGGGGCTTCGCACCTCTCCAAAGTGAGCTGTGTTCCATGGGCACCCCCACTCAAAGTCACTCCCCACCACAACCTGGACATACATATACCCGGTTTAGTAACCCCAGCGAATGCATCCTTGAATGGATATACAGGCGTACCTCAGTTTACGAATTGAATGCGTTCTCTAGGACGTTTCGTATTGTGAAAAATGTGTAAACCGAAACGCGGTATCCCATAGGAATGCATTGAAAACCAATTAATCCGTTCCGGAGGTCAGAAAAAAAGTTCAGCGGCAAAGTGTCCTGGAACCTGTCTTCAAACATCACACTGAGCTCAGGTCACACAGCTGACACACCAGGATAAGGAGCCCTACTTCCAAGAAGTGACAGTTGTGTTCAGTCTAGTGAGATTCTAAGTGACAGTTATTTCAGTCTAGTGAACAGAGACTTTGCGTCAGGGGCGGGCTGACCATTTGGAAACTCGGGCACTGCCCTAGTAGGGGGCCCCATGAAATGCCCCTGGTGCCTTTTTCATAGGCTTTTTTTCAGTTTGGGCAAGGACACAGGGGCCCCGTGATCCCCTATGGCCCAGGGGCCCCATAAGTTGTCAGTCCGCCCCTGCTTTGCGTATAATACAGGATTTACAGGCGTACCTCGGTTTATGAATTCAATGCGTTCTGCGAGACTTTTCGTATTGCGAAAAATTCGTAAAGCGAAATGCAGTTTCCCATAGGAATGCATTGAAAACCAATTAAAATGGGCAGCACAGTGGCTGAATGGTTAGCCCTTCCACCAGGCAGTACTCGGGTCGTTGGTTCAAATCCCAACCACGGCACCACCTGCCTGGAGTTTGCATGTGCTCCTTGTGCCTGTGTGGGTTTCCTCCGGGTACTCCGGTTTCCTCCCACACTCCGAAGACATGCTGGTAGATGAATTGGCTCCTGTCTACATTGTCCCTAGTATGTGTATGTATGAATGTGAGTTAGGGACCTTAGATTGTACGCTCCTTGCTCCTTGAGGGTTAGGGACCTTAGATTGGATGCTCCTCGGGGGCGGGGACTGATGTGACTGTACAATATATATGTAAAGCGCGGAGTACATTGATGGTGCTGTATAAGTACCTGAAGTAAATTTTAAAATAAATAAAAGTCTTCTCATATAAATCCCCCCCCCCCCCCCCCCCCCCCCTGAAAAACAGAAGATAAGACATCACACAGAAAAGGAGGAGCTAATGATCCAGTTGTAAAAGGCAGCAATGATTGGGGGGGGGGCAAATCCTCCTGAAAGTCGGGGGGTCTTCCCTGCATTATAATAGAACATTGGAAGAAAGAAGAATGTAATTGTAAAAAAGTATGGACACCCCTCCGCTAATCCAGTGATAATCCCCCACAGAACTCTTCCCCTCCCCTCCAGTATTGCACAGGTGTACCGGTCCCCTCCCCTTCAGTCTTGCACAGGTGTACCGGCCCCGGCCCCTCTCCCCTTCAGTCTTGCACAGGTGTACCGGCTCCTCCCCTTCAGTCTTGTACAGGTGTACTGGCCCCCCCCTCCCCTTCAGTTTTGCACAGGTGTACCGGCCCCTCCCCTTCAGTCTTGCAGAGGCGTGCCGGGCCCTCCCCTTCAGTCTTGCTAGGTGTACCGGCCCCTCCCCTTCAGTCTTGCAGAGGCGTGCCGGGCCCTCCCCTTCAGTCTTGCTAGGTGTACCGGCCCCCCCCTTCAGTCTTGCATAGGTGTATCGGCCCCTCCCCTTCAGTCTTGCACAGGTGTACCGGCCCCTCCCCTTCAGTCTTGCACAGGTGTACTGGCCCCTCCCCTTCAGTCTTGCACAGGTGTACCGGCTCCTCCCCTCCAGTCTTGCACAGGTGTACCGGCTCCCCCCCCTCCAGTCTTGCACAGGTGTACCGGCTCCCCCCCTCCAGTCTTGCACAGGTGTACCGGCTCCTCCCCTCTAGTCTTGCACAGGTGTACCGGCTCCTCCCCTTCAATCCTGCACAGTTGTACCGGCTCCTCCCCTCCAGTCTTGCACAGGTGTACCGGCTCCTCTCCTGGACTGGAATAGCTTTCTCTGATGTCACTGCACACTGGGAGCTTCTCACAATGTGCATTAGAAGCTGCAGCAAGTAAGACAGAGCTCCGCCTCATTTCCTGGCTGGAGGACGTCCAGCGTCATCTAGCGCTTTCCTCCCCAGCCTGACCGTCCCTGGCCCCACCCCTTTGGATTTCAGTTCTTTCAATCATAGAGGCTTGGTATCACATGTGGGCGTCACCTAGATAGGTCTGCATGTAACCACAGCCTGACTCCTCCAGAATGACACTAACCCATCAAGACATTTTGATATTTGCAAAACTCCTCCCAAGAGCCAGCCCACCGTTTGCATCAGAGCCGAGGGCTCTTGAGAGGAGTACGGAGGCAGGGTGCTGTGATGATGTCAGGCAGCTATGTACAGCGCCCTGCCGGCCCCTCCCACCAGTTATAATCTGCCTGTATTGCATAGAGAAGCACAGAAACCCAGTGATGACATCATAGAGAAGAGCAGAGCTCCAGTGATGACATCAAAGAGAAGGGCAGCGACCCAGTGATAACATCAAAGAGAAGGGCAGAGACCCAGTGATGACATCACAGAGAAGGGCAGAGACCCAGTGATGACATCACAGAGAAGGGCAGAGACCCAGTGATGACATCACAGAAAAGGGCAGAGACCCAGTGATGACATCAAAGAGAAGGGCGGAGACCCAGTTATGACATCACAGAGAAGGGCAGAGACCCAGTTATGACATCACAGAGAAGGGCAGAGACCCAGTGATGACATCACAGAGAAGGGCAGAGACCAAGTGATGACATCAAAGAGAAGGGCAGAGACCCAGTGATGACATCAAAGAGAAGGGCAGAGACCCAGTGATGACATCAAAGAGAAGGGCAGAGATCCAGTGGTGACATCATACAGAAGCAAAGAAATCCAGTGACGACATCATAGAGAAGCACAGGGATCCAGTGACGACATCATAGAGAAGCACAGAGATCCAGTGACAACATCATAGAGAAGCATAGAGATCCAGTGATGATGTCACTGGATCTAAAATGTAATGAAAATGGAAAGGTTTTATTTAAAAAAAAATCTCATTAACCGGTTGATGAGGGGGATTCAGGAAAGGAAAATATAGATCATTTAAATTTCTCTGGTGATCCTGCCATGAAGGTTCTATGTCCAGGCACTTCCTATTATAGGGTGACACCTTTTTGTTTCTGTCTCCCAACTATAACCCTGCATTGTCACCCTGTCACATCTTCTTCTGATGGAGACCACAAGAGGCCGTACCGAACAGGCAGTTTTGGTATGGGAAGCCGGGCAGATCACATGCACCTGTTACTCGGTCTGGGGTTAGATATGAAGTGGCTGCAAAGAGGCCGCACGAGATCAGCAGCATTTGATGGGGGGGGGGGGGATGATGAAAAAAGTAACAACATTTTCTAAAAGTTTTTAAAAAGTCGATCATTTGATACACTGTGCACAGAGCAAACTTGTGTCTTGTATCTTCCAGGATCACTTTGCATGCAGAATGAGCTCTGCCCGTCCTTTTCATCCCATGTGAATGACCCAGCATGTCCCCGGGGGGCCCCAGCATTGTCTGCTCCACACAGGAAAGTTTTCATCCCCTCCCTCCCGAGTCTGGGGGTGCCACGTGAGCCATACAGACTTCAACAGCACAATGCAACTCCCACACCCCAATCTATCAAATAATCACACCCCAAATCCTCAGCACCCTCCTCTCCAGGGGCGGACTGACCATTCGAGCACTCGGGCACTCCCCGAGGGCCCGGGGTCAGTAGGGGACCCCATGAGATGCCCCTGGTACCTTTTTCATAGGCTTTTTTTGGGTGTGGGCAAAGACACAGGGGCCCCATGAACCCCTATTGCCCGAGGGCCCCATGAGTTGTCAGTCCGCCCCTGCTCCTCTCAACAATTAATAATCACACCTCAACTTCCTCTGACCCCACCAATAAATAGTTAATCATCACCCCCCCCCCCCCCCCCCCCCCCCCCCCCCCATGTCCTCTGCTCCCAACACCAAAGGGTTAATATTCACACCCCATCCTGCTCAGCTTCTGCCATTAAGGGGTTATTAATCACACCCGCACATTCCTCAGCCCCCCCCCTCCCCCAATGAAGGGTTAATAATTCCCAGGGATCCTGTGGCGTTTTATTGTGGAAAACACATGTTCCATCTTCTCTGGGAATAATAAAGAATTCTCCTCTTCCCAGGCCAGCGGAGAGGTGCTGGGGGGGAGGAGCCGGGACTCTGCTCTCATTTATATGGATGGATCATTTTCAGTTACAAGTGGAGCTCAATAGGAATGGCCCAATGGTGTTCCAGCCTGATGGACAGCTAGTTTTCCTAGCATGGCAAGGTCTCTCTCAGTTACATGGCTGTACGGTGGTGATGGGATCAATTGGATTGGACCTGCATGTGTCTCTGGTCGTGTATAGGGGATAAGAGATGTGTCATGGCTTACACCACCCTTGAGACAGGTTCTCTTCATCAATGTGACCCAATCACCACCCTGGAGACAAGTCCTCTTTATTAATGTGGCTCAATCACCACCCTGGAGACAGGTTCTCTTCATCAATGTGACCCAATCACCACCCTGGAGACAAGTCCTCTTTATTAATGTGGCCCAATCACCACCCTGGAGTAGATCCTCTTTATTACTGTGGCCCAATCACCACCCTGGAGACAGGTCCTCTTTATTACTGTGGCCCAATCACCACCCTGGAGCAGATCCTCTTTATTACTGTGGCCCAATCACCACCCTGGAGACAGGTTCTCTTTATTACTGTAGCCCAATCACCACCCTGGAGACAAGTCCTCTTTATTAATGTGGCCCAATCACCACCCTGGAGTAGATCCTCTTTAATTACTGTGGCCCAATCACCACCCTGGAGACAAGTCCTCTTCATCAATATAACCCAATCACCACCCTGGAGACAGGTCCTCTTCATCAATGTGACCCAATAACCACCCTGGACACAGATCCTCTTTATTACTGTGACCCAATCACCACCCTGGAGACAGGTCCTCTTTATTACTGTGGCCCAATCACCACCCTGGAGACAGGTCCTCTTTATTACTGTGGCCCAATCACCACCCTGGAGACAGGTCCTCTTTATGACTGTGGCCCAATCCCCACCCTGGTGACAGGTCCTCTTAAGTACTGTGGCCCAATCCAGCACCATGGAGACAGATCCTCTTTATTATTGCGCCCCAATCACCACCCTAGAGACAGATCCTGTTTATGACTGTGGCCCAATCAGCACCCTGGAGACAGGTCCTCTTTATGAATGTGGCCCGATCACCACCCTGGAGACAGGTCCTCTTTATGACTGTGGCCCAATCCCCACCCTGGAGACAGTCCTCCTCTTTATAATGTGGCCCAATCCCCACCCTGGAGACAGGTCCTCTTTATTAATGTGGCCCAATCCCCACCCTGGAGACAGGTCCTCTTTATCAATGTGGCCCAATCCCCACCCTGGAGACAGGTCCTCTTTATGAATGTGGCCCGATCACCACCCTGGAGACAGGTCCTCTTTATGACTGTGGCCCAATCCCCACCCTGGAGACAGGTCCTCTTTATGACTGTGGCCCAATCCCCACCCTGGTGACAGGCTCTCTTAAGTACTGTGGCCCAATCACCACCATGGAGACAGGTCCTCTTTATGAATGTGGCCCAATCACCACCCTGGAGACAGGTCCTCTTTATTACTGTGGCCCAATCACCACCCTGGAGACAGGTCCTCTTTATGACTGTGGCCCAATCCCCACCCTGGTGACAGGTCCTCTTAAGTACTGTGGCCCAATCAGCACCATGGAGACAGATCCTCTTTATTATTGCGCCCCAATCACCACCCTAGAGACAGATCCTCTTTATGACTGTGGCCCAATCAGCACCCTGGAGACAGGTCCTCTTTATCAATGTGACCCAATCCCCACCCTGGAGACAGGTCCTCTTTATCAGGGATTACTATGAACCCAACCCAGCCAAAATCCTCCCTACACCAACTACACAGGGAGTAACAGCAATACCACCCTGGAGACAGGTCCTCTTTATTAATGTGGCCCAATCACCACCCTGGAGACAGATCCTCTTCATCAATGTGACCCAATCCCCACCCTGGAGACAGGTCTCTTCATCAATGTGACCCAATCACCACCCTGGAGACAGATCCTGTTTATGACTGTGGCCCAATCACCACCCTGGAGACAGATCCTGTTTATGACTGTGGCCCAATCCCCACCTGGAGACAGGTCCTCTTTATCAATGTGACCCAATCCCCACCCTGGAGACAGGTCCTCTTTATCAGGGATTACTATGAACCCAACCCAGCCAAAATCCTCCCTACACCAACTACACAGGGAGTAACAGCAATACCATAGTGCCCCCTGCTGCTGGTCAGCATCAGAATCGTAGCAGTAGTACAGGGCTGGCCATTGATTCATGCAGAACGTTTGGGGTCCATGCTCGGTAACACAAATTGCTAATCAGCCAATCACAGGGCAGCATTTAGGCATCTAGATGTGGTGAAGACGACTTGCTGAAGTTCAAACTGAGCATCAGAATGGGGAAGAAAGGGGATTTAAGTGACTTTGAACGTGGCGTGGTGGTTGTTGGTTGTCAGACGGGCTGGTCTGAGTATTTCAAAAACTGCTGATCTACTGGGATTTCCACGCACAACCATCTCTAAGGTTTACAGAGAATGGTCCGAAAAGAGAGAAAATATCCAGTGAGTGGCAGTTGTGTGGAGGAGAATGCCTTGTTGATGTCAGAGGAGAATGGGCAGACTGGTCGCTGCGATATTCAGATGGAAGGGTCAGAATTTGGCGTAAACAACATGAAGGGATAGTTCACACTCCATGCGTTTCAGTTGCATTTTTTCTGCATCCAAAACGCACAGAAAGTCAGTGATATGGTTGTCAGTGTCATAGTTTACATCAACGCTCGCAGTTCCAGTGCGTTCCGGATGCAGAAAACAAAAGTAGAACAGGCAGCATGTTTTCTGTACAGAACTGCACTGGAACGCGGTTAAACGAATCAAAAACGCACCAGAATGCACAAAAAATGCACTGGAACGCACAGAGAGGAGGAAAAATGCACTGGAACGCACAGGTCCCTATTAAAACTGAAGAAAAAGAGAGGAGGAAAAATGAACTGGAACGCATAAAAAACGCATTAAAAATGCACCGGAATGCGCCAAAAATGTGCATGCATAAATGTATCCGGGATGCATCTGGAATGCGTTTCTATAGTGTGAACCAACCCGAAAGTGTGTGGATCCATCCT